TTTATGTAATGCCCCCCCCCTCCCCTCGCTCCTGGTAATTATTGTACAGTCCCTAATTACAAAACGTTGAGCTGAAGTTATTGCATTCCAGGCCCGAAATGCATTGTTGGACGTTCTCTCGCAGTTCAAAAGGAGTTTTCGTGGTTTCAGAGTAACTATACTTCTTTAGAAAACAATGAAATTTAAAATTGCAATTTTGAAATAGCTGTAATACTTTGAGAATAGGTAATTCACAATGTTAATAAGTAATATATAGTAACGACATTTTGTACAACAAAGCATGATGCGATTTCTTTTAGATGATTTAACGGACATAAAAATGCTTTGCTCGATAAAATGGTTGAGGTGCATATTGCCCATAGTTTTTACCAAATAGGGTGTAAGCTTTTTCGCTTACCATGTGTCCGTTGGTCTTCATAACCGTCGTCCATCCTCCCCCACCACACCCAGGTATATCCTCCATGTAGCAGTACACCTTGGTGGTTGTTTGTTTGGTTTTGATGTAGTAAGCACCACTAGGCGCAGACCTGAATAAAGCCAGTAATTAGCTAGTATTATTAACATATTAATGATATGCGCACATTGAAACTTAATCAATTCTGAAAACGCCTTGTTGGAAGAATTATTAAACTTATAGCATTGATAATTGTAAATGTCGCTCTTACAGGAAATGTGTCATTTCGCATGTGTGTGGCTTCTGAGGTGATGCCCCTTTCCCCCTCCATGCATCCTTCCCCCTCCCCCCTTCGATAAACAGTAACTTTTCTATATAGTGTTAATAACATATTGTTGAATTTTGTAGATCAGATGTTTTAAATCATGAAGTGAAGAAAAATGTGTCAGCTGGTAACAAAGCAAAACGAACCAAAAACAAAAATATACAAASATATAGAGGCGCTATAAGACGGGGATGAAGAAATGTTTTTACTGTTCTTTTATAAAAAGAATMACTAATGGCCACCTCTTGAATCCGTCCCTGTTCAAAACTCACCAATCATCTTCCAAGATTGCTTTACAAGATGAAGCTGGATTATGAAGACTTCCTAACTTGGCGTTCATTGACACAAAACGGGAACCATCGCAAATCTCCATAGCCCCATTTCTGTAAACTAAAACACCTTTGTTGGCTTTAGTGCATCTTTGATTTTTTGCGGTATTAAGCTTAAGACTCAKAAGAGCTCCATTAATCTGCGCTAGACCGTTGATCCKCACACGGCCACCTCTTCCTGGCTCWAGAACCACATCTTTGCCTTTATCAGACCGAAGCTGGACCTCGCCATGTTTGTATGTCAGAGAAGCTCTTCTGCAATAAAAAAAAGTTCATGAGCAATCATTGTATACATGGTTTGAAGGAAAACATTGAAGATTAATTGTCCTATATTTCATTATGAGGTCACATCAAAATATTCTATTGTTTTAACGTTAAGGATTATGGTCGCCAGAAGGGACCAAAGCTACTATCAAATAAAATGTAGATGACCTATCATTGATAGATGATATACATCGAGTCTTTCTGAGCATCTATCGACAATGTAAACATACTGTGATGTCATTATGCCATGAGGCAATTCAATTAACTCATGATTCAACGTTGACAAATGTTTGAATAATTAAAAATAAATACGTTTTTAAATAGTATTGACAATATCAGTTATGGATGTGATTTTCGCATATTACCCCGCGAAATTTGTTTTCCACCATTCCAAAACGTTGTGCAATAGTTTAAAGTTAATGATGATGTCTACCGCTTTACTGGATCTCATCAATTTTTTGAGATATTTGGCAAATACGAATTTCGACAAAATGCGATCTCCGTTGATCTCCGTTAATGGAGCTAAATATTGTGCCAAACAAAACTTTGATCAATGCTTTATTACTGATCCAAACACCAAATAAATCGGTGCATGGCAAGATTTTCAAAAAGAATTTTGTAAAAAGAGAGGTATGGTCGAAAAAAAAAACTATAGGCCACCTTAATTCGTGAATTGTTTTCGGCATAAGTCAAGTTTTGCGTCTAGGCTGAAACTTACTTTGTCAAAGCTTCATCACGTYGAATCAATGCGAATAAAACAATAATCCAGATCCTCATATTTGGTTTCCACCTCCTCGTAACAGCAAAGCTATAGAATAAAAAGAAGAATGAAAAATAAAGAAGAATGAAACAAAGAAAAGAAGAATAATTTTAATTAAAACGCTGGAAAAAATCGCGCGCCATAAAGGTTGTAAATTTGATGTAAATATGATGTAAGTGTCCAAAATTCTTTAAATTTAATGGCAATCATTTACATCAAATTTCACAGAATTTTGGACACTTACATCATATTTACATCAAATTTGCAACCTTAAATTATCAAGATCCTCATATTTGGTTTCCACCTCCTCGTAACAACAAAGCTACAGAAACAAAAGAAGAATGAAACGAAAAAAAAGAATACTTTTAATAAAAGATTATGATGAAAACATTTATAGTGCTTTGGACCTCGCCTCGCACATCCCATWAGTCGCGCGTTGTTACGTGAACATTGACGCAAGCATTCGTTTTCACACAAATTAAAATAAAATCAGTGATTTATTAAGAAGATGCAATTTTAACAAAATTCTGTTGGCATTGTAATACWTCCTAACTTCAGGGCAACAATGAAATACTTTTTGCGTCTACCTGTTTTTCTGTACACACACATGCAAGTACATGGAGTTAATTTTCTTTTTTAAAAATGAACCTAGAATTATTTTAAAATCTCTTGCTAGTCATTAACCAGAATGCAGTCGAAAGCTGGTGGACTCTACTAACATTAATTAATCAAATATAATTGATCTACTTACTTKGAACTGTCTTGATAAGTATTCTTTCCACAATCGCAAGTAAAGATTGTGAGATTAGTTCAAACGACTTTTGATTGACTTGATTCAAAAACAAGATCAAMAWGAAACAAGAAAATACACGAATCCCAGCCTTSAGTTCCCGAGGGGGGAGGGGTACTCCCTCCCCAACTTGGGTGGRGRTRTGTCGCACAACCCTCAAAACCCTTACCCTATCCCAGACCAATTTTTGTGATTTTACATACCCAACCCCAGTCTAAAGGTACAAAGGTACATTATTTTAGCGCTGAAAGCGTGACCTAGCAGATACGGCTTAAAACGGCCTAAAACAACTTGGCGAAGAACCGTCCAGGCTGAGTTGCTGGAGATGGGACTGACTTGGGGCGAGGCTTTGRAAGTTGCAAAGGACCGCCAAGAGTGGCGTCACCGTGTCGCGGCCCTATTTCCCACTAGGGAAGATGGGGATAAGTAAGTAAGTAGCAGATACGATCACAGGCAAAACACCGTACCAAATRTATTTGGGTCGACACCAATTGACTATTTGGTTCGGCGCGACGATAGYACGACCTATGAACCGGACTTTAATTAATTCGATATATATCCACTGGAAAAAATCGCGCGCTTTAAAGGTTGTAAATTTGATGTAAGTGTCCAAAATTCTGTAAATTTAATGGAAATCATTTACATCAAATTTACAGAATTTTGGACACTTACATCATATATACATCAAATTTACAACCTTTAAAGCGCGCGATTCTTTCCAGTGATCTAAAGTTAGAATTAAATTGTTTTCTTGGAATTCTAAAAACCTTTTTATGCAAATGACTTTGTTGTTGTCAGTATGTCTTAACAAAGTAAACAACGTTAATGGGGTTGACTGTATGGTCTGTATGCTACATTGATTAACAAGGAGACAGTAAACATAATATTCAAATGCACTTTAGC